CTGAGATGGAGCGCAAGAAGAAAGACACCTTTGGTGACGATGATTCGTAGAGGCAGCCAGTCCTGCAACACTCTGATAATCAAAGACAACGGAAATCTTATAAAAAATAGAAAACTTACACAAAAAAGTAAAGACCAGTGGGCTGACTGATTACTCGAGTACACAGTTTGCCCACTGAAGAAGTTGATGATGCATAGAGAGAGGCGGTATAGTTTTGTTGGATAGGGTTCAGGGAGAGCGCTATGCTTCTTCACATCATTCAGGTGGGTGTTGCACTAAATACTGGTTATATCTAATAGACAGTTAATACCCTACATTTTTCTAATTCATCATGCTAAGACGATGCGTAGTCCAAAGATGCCAAATGAAACGATTCATAATCAATAGTATCTGGAAAAGATGTACACTATATACTCGGCTGATATTTTGTATATGCAGGTGTTCTTTTCGTGTCAGGTTCTGTGAGTTGTGGCTTGGCATCGTGTGTCTGTATTCAGTTGTGGTGTGTTGAGCTGAGTGTTCCTCACAGGATGTGGCAGTTCCTGCACTTTCAGGCCGGTAACAGCAGAGCGCCGTGCGAGGCAGCACCTCAGCATCCACATCATGTGGTCCGGTTTTGTAAAAGTGCTTTAGTGGTGTATGGGCTAGGTCTTCTTTCTTTGTTTGATCCCCTGATTGTGCGACAGCATACAGTAAGTCACAGGCACGACTGTAGCTCAACATGAACCTCCTGAACCGGTTTTCAACACTTTGAGTTACTATAATGCATCTGAGAAAAATGTATTAGTTCCTGTATTACCCAAAATAATCAAAGACCCGAGCATTAACAGCAGATTGATGACACATGTAATTGCTTAAGAAGGACCAAATGTGTACTGCAGCAGTATTGAACTGATGGGAGCCTTGTGTATCTGGTTTTGAACAACTGTTGTTAAAAAAGGAAGAAAAAAACTATCTTGGGGCTCAAATGATTTCTGTACTGCAAAGTAAAAAAAGAAAAACTTTGTCAAAATCCAAAGCTGTGTGAGATTTATTTATTTTAGTAGTTTCAAGTATGCAGCAGGCTTTGTAATGTCTGCTTTTACACACCCTTACCCTGACAACATTTGGTAGTGCATCATCATGGATGAAAGCTCAGACTTGTAATACTGGGTCATCAGGTAAAAACACATTTCCATGGATCCAACGCACAAACACATGCTGATGATTCGTGCCAAGCTGAAGAAACTAAAACACGAGCTTCTTGGACACACAGCAAGTCTGCTTTCTTATGAAGGCATCTGTGGGACAAACGTGGTGACAGAAGGGAAGCTGAAGCTGTCCAAGCACCCCTGTAGCCTCGGATCACCCACCGCAGTCGTCACACCTCGTTGGCATCACTGTAAACGAGCCTTTAACACGTTAAAGGTAGGTAGTCTATGATTACTGACTCGCTTTAAGAAAAAAAGTTCCATGTGACCAAACTAGGAAATGGATTTCGACACTTCCGCGTTCGCTTTATGAGTCTGCAGAATCCTCGGTTCGTCTTCAGATCGCTACTACAATTCCCAGAATGCCGCGGTGGCTTTCCGTTCGACTCTGTAGAGCGCCGTGTGTGGTAACCTGTAATCATGGAGGTGACGGCAGCCCGCCGCTCGTTTCTGTGCGACATCGGTAAGCATCGTCAGCAGTTAACGGTTTACACCTCAGCTCATCCACAGGAACGGCTGACGTCTGATTATAAAACCGTGTGTTCGCTGCCAAAAGCGGGTTTAACCGGGAAATGTAGGCGGAGAATAACAGTCCCGTCAGAGGAAGTTCGGTCATTTGGTAGCTAACCGGCTTAGAGCTAGATGACATGCTCGGAGTTCCTCTGTAAATGAAGAGCAAATGCGACATTTACAAGACTACACTCGAACTAATGGACGTAAACATGATGAACGAGGCCAAAAAGACGTCGTTATTTCTGTAATAGTCTAAGTATTGCCCTTGTTCATATATTAGTAATGGACACTGATGGATACTGACAGAATAGACTTATTCCACCCAGTACTGCTGCCGTGGTTACTGGGTTTACGCATAATGGAACTGGTTAATGGACGGTCTCTTTGCTGTTGTGCTCGTGTGTGTGTGTGTGTGTGAGGCTTCTGGGCAGACCGCACTGCTCTGCACGAAGCAGCATCCCACGGCAGGACTTTGCAGTTGAAGCAGCTGATAGAAAACGGAGCGTCCGTCAACATGGTGACTGTGGATAACATCACTCCTCTACATGAAGCCTGCATCCAGGCTCATCCAAACTGTGCTCGCCTGCTGCTGGAGGCAGGAGCCCAGGTGAGGCACAGCTTCACTCTACAAGCCGGTGTAGAGTCTGGGAGTCGCGCACCTTAACACAGCGGGTACAAAGTGATGCTCTCTGGTGCAGAATCCCACTGCTGGGCAGCAAGAGGCACTCCCTCTGTGACAGCCTCACAAACGATAACTACTCTTTGTTGTTCAGGTCTTAACATGGCCCTACAATTTTGTAGATTACCTAAAGAATAGCTGGATAATGTTCTTCTGTTTGTTCCAGGTGGATGTACGCACCATCCATGGTAGCACGCCTCTTTGTAATGCTTGTGCTGCTGGCAGCCTGGAATGTGCCAAGCTGCTGCTGGACTATGGAGCCAAGGTGAACCCGTCCCTCACAGCCCTCACTGCCTCACCGCTCCACGAGGCCTGCATACAAGGTAAACCTTCAGCAGGAACAACACTCTGCCATGCTGTCACATGTCTCCCTATGAACAACTCTTCACATTCCTCTCAGGTAACCCCCAAGTTGTGAGACTGCTGATAGCCAGCGGTGCCAAGCTGGAGGCATTTGACGTCCACTTTGGGCCTCCCCTTCACATAGCATGTGCTAAAGAACATCTGAATTGTGTCAAGGAGCTGCTAACTGCAGGTGTGTTAAAGGTGCAATGTATGGTTGTTTTATTTCCTACAGAGAGTGCTGCAGCCAATCAAAGCTGTCAGAGGGTGAGGGGCGGGTTCATTCTGGATCACAGGGCTGAGGCAGACAGCTGTTCACTCATGCTAACAGCATTTAACCTGTGCATGTCTTTGGACTAAGACCTTTACATGATTGTGAATTATGCAGGTGCTAATGTGAATTCAGTGAAGTTCCATGAAATGGCGTTGCATCACGCAGCTCGGGTCGGTATGGTGGAAATGATTGAGCTGCTGGTGGAGTTTGGGGCCAATGTGTACGCCAGCGACAACCTGGGAAGGAAGCCTATAGACTACACAACACCTGCATCTCCCTCGTACACCTGCCTCAGGTTTTATGAAAGTAAGGTTCTGCGTTGTGTCTGACTTACAGCAAAAACATTCAAGTTCTTACGTTCTTGCTCTTTTTTTGCTTTTGAGGCCTGATCGTCTTATTAAAACATTTGTTGTTGACAGGTAATCCTTTGAGCCTGCAGCAGCTTTGCAGGATTGCTGTGAGGAGGATGCTGGGTACCAGAGCATCGGAGGTCCTGAGCCAGCTGAATATATCCCACCGCATCAACAGCTACCTCCAGTACTGTGATCGTCCCATATCCCTACAGACTTACACATGAACATTTACTGTACAAGGTTTAAAATGCCCCCTGAAAAATGTTTGCCATTCAGATGAAACACGTGTAACCAGGATGAAAATCTCTGTACGGAGTCAGTTCAACACTGTATGTCAAATTAAAGCAATTCATTGCTGAATGAGAACAAGTATAATCTATATAAAGCTCTGTTTCAGCACTCTGACAATTTCCAACACATGTATAACACATAAGGCAATTTCCCTTATCGGCTCAGCTGTGATGGCCAGGGGCCTGTCAGCTCTCTCTACTCCACATTACGCGACACTGGCCAGACTACCAAAAGTACTCCAAGAGCACATCAGTGACTAAGGTCAAGTTATTTTACCCTGCTGGGATAATAAGCTGGCCAAAGGAGGAGATAGAAGTCAGTGACCTCAAGACGAGGAAGCTCCTGACCATGCATGGAGGGTCAAGTCCAGAACCCTGACTGGCTGTATGCTAAGCAGAAGGAAGGAGGCCGGGGACTGGTGAGTGTCAGCACCACAGTCCAGGATGAGACAACGAACATCCACAGATACATCAGGAAGATGCCTATAACAACTGCATGCTCAGTGAACACCTCAGGCAGCAGAAACCTGAGGAAGAGGAGGAACCATCATGGAAGGACAGGCCCCTGCATCTCCAGATAGAGGAAGTGGCTGACATCCAGAAGTCCTACCAGTGGCTGGATACAGCTCGACTGAACAGAGGCACCAATCATGGCAGCAGAGGAACAAGCACTAAGCACACGATCCATAGAGGCTGGGGTCTGTCACACCAGGCAAGACCTCAGGCTGTGTAAAGATGCCCCAGAGACGATCGATGAATGGCTGTCCTGTTTGGGTGTTGGTCACCAGGAGATGCTACAGTTGTTTTGTGTAGGATAAACAGGGTAGTGAGGTGCACTGTGATGGATTTAGAGTAAAGAACAGTGTGCGACTGGTGCACAGAGGTGCTCGGGATCAGAATTAGATTGCATCGAGGGTAGCTGATTCATGCCAACTTTATACCATCTGGTATGAAAACAGCACAAACAGTGTACTGTCAGTGTGGGGAATGGAAGCAGCCAATCAGCGTGTCAAATATTGGGTTACAAACTGTTGACTTCAGTGAAACCTCAGAGCAGCAGCAGGTACAGCTCAGCTGATCAAAGCCTGTTCAGAGAAAATCTACAGGAGCTCTCAACAGAAGATATTGTGAGTGGGTGCAGGGCAGCTACTCTGTGGTTCCGACACGAGCTGCTGTGTTAAACACCAGATTACAGCTTTGATCGTGACCAGGCGTTCTGTTCAGGACAGGCTGTTTACACCCCGCTAGGATATTATTCAACCTGAGTTAGAATAAATGTTAGTCGCTCTCCACGCGTGAAACGGTGTTATTTGGGGTAAAAACTACAAAGTCCAACATGCCCGCGGAGGTCGGGTTTTGTCACGTGACTCCTGCCGCATGTAGCGCGCGAGGACGCTGTTTACAAACAGCCGTAAGTCCCGCGTTTCGTGCCAGCCTAGCTTGTTCTGCGGGGGAAGCAGTCGGAGGATGGACGCTGAAAAGTCTCGGCCCTATTTCTTTGGCGACATCGGTGAGTACGAGAGCGGACGACAGCGAGACGGTCGGTAATCGAGGCCGAGTTAGCTCGGCAGGACTGGCACCGGCTGCCGTAATCCTTGTTCTGGAGCTAGCAGGTAATGGCAGCTGTCATGTTATTACACAGACAGAATTATTCACCTGGAAAACGTGACGATGACGTGAGAGACACCTTCGCCGCTGCCCGCGTGGGCCTGCGTGGGCCTGCACGCGCGCACACCGAGCAGTGGCACGCGGTAAAAAATGAAAACAATCTTGCTTATTGAACTCACGCACTGAGCCGTGAACCATAAACTACAATCGATCACATCCACCGATCAAAGAGCATTGATCACTGATCAGTGGTCAGTCTTGACCTTTAGCGTATTCTAGGTCCGTGGCGCCAGTTGGAGTCATCGTGTAAATGCCCCGTTTATAAGGTTGGGGACACCTGCAGTCAGCTGGGACTGAAGACGTCACTGGATGATGACGAAACGTTTCTCGCTACGTCCAGGTGAACAGAATCAACCTTTTTTCCTTACCTGGATGATTAAGCACGCATCGAGTCATGCATTTGACTTTGTCTCTGTAGAGGATGCGATGAACATCCTTTGGCATGTTTTAATTTACGTCCACTTTTAGATTTGAGTAGGCAGCTTGCACTGACAGAAGGCCACCGGCACACAGTATGTGTGTATATGAAATGGATTGTGGGAGGAAGTCCATGCCACCCCACAAAGAGCAAATAGACAAGGTTCAAGGTTCTTTATTTGTCACATGCATAGTTATACAAGTATAACACACAGTGAAATGTAGCCTGACACGCTCCTCGACATGTGCAAAAA